ATATATACTTTGTATTTTTTCTTCGTTTATACACTCAGCGTATAAGGTAAATTCTTTCTTTTTTTTTTCAATGTTTTTTAATTGTTTTTCTCATCTATTTAGACAATGTTGTTGTGTCACTATCTATCCGTCTTAAGAACGGCGCCATCTAAAGCCATATTTGCAAAATATTCAATGGCGACTATGACTTGTTCGAAGAAATATAGGAAAATAAAGGGACAAGGAATCGAGGTTGAAACGAAAAACTTAGAGGGATAATGCAATGGAATAAAGAATCATTATAAGGCTTTGAATAGGACGGAGTGGGAGTGCAAGAGGAAGGCGAAAAAAAGTTTGGACACTATGTGACCTCGCGACCGGAGATAGGATAGGGCTTCTTTTAGCGAAGGTTGGTGCTAAATAATATTCGTACGTAGATGTATATGGCGTTCAGTACACAGCAGAAAACGATCGGTACCGACGAGCATTAAATTTAGATATACACACTTAGTCGGTGAAGAAACATAGTTAACGTTCCGTTATTCATATCCAGCAAGCACAAATATGCAATAATATCTCGTGTATACATATTATTACCGATAATGGAGTTTATTTTCTCTCTCTCTCTCTCTCTCTCTTTCTCTCTTTCTATCTCTATCTCTCCCTCTCTTGCGCGCATTCTCACTTTCTCCCTTTCACACTCCCTTTCATTTTCAATTTTAATTTAGCAGCCATCGGTGGGCTCGCCCGACATTTCCTTTTAATCCATCATTTTTCTCACAAGACGAAATGATGATAGATCTTTGTTTATAATATTCTCGTTCATCGTTCCCGCGACGATAAAGTTTCTCTCTCTTTCTCTCGCTCTCTCTTTCACACACACACACACACACTTTTTTTCTCTGTTTAAACAATAATTCGTACGCGACGCGACATCAATTCTCGAGGAAGTGGACGCTAGCGCTAAATAGGGGGAGTGGGTAGGACACATCCATCGTTAAAAATACCTTAGCCACGCTATGCAGTGTACGTGTGTGAGTGTGTGTGTACATGTACATCGATGTCCTCTACTCAGTCACGCTCACCATTGTCGAATGTTGCACCGATATTTTTTCTTCGCACGAGAAAGCACCACTTTTATAATACACCTTAACATCGCCTTTCCCCCCCTCTTTTTGTTCCTTTAACCAACTAAATTCGGAATATCGCTTCGAGACGCGTCATGTCGATCGCCTGTTTAGATTGAACGTCAATTTTCTTTCATCATTTTGTTGCGTTCTTCCAACGTTTCATCGATACTTTGATCGCTGATCAATCATCATTCACAGCGAAGGACGTTCTTTTTAATGCTCTTCAGCACTTACAGGGCCATTCATTGTTGAGATATACGCGTGCATTCCTTTCCGCGTTTGTTTGCGACTCATATACATTATGATCGTACTTATGGCGTGTCTATCTTCGCCAAAATTACTCCTTTTATCGATCCTTTATTTTCTTCCTTTTCCCTAAGAACGACTAAGGTATCGCGCGGGCAAATGGGCAGATGGGTACACAAAATTCGTTTCTTCGCATAGTACATCGACGATCGCGCCTCGTGTCTTCCTTATCCTATTGGAAAAAGTTTATACGTCAATGTAAAGCTATATATTGACTAGTTTCTCTCACTCGATTCGCCTCAACGACGAATGGCCTGCTCCCTGCACTCTTCTTTCGTCGTTCTTTTCTCACATTCAATGACGATGCGGTGCTTCGTCATGATCATTCGTTAACGATGGTGAACATTCGCATAACGACGGTTCCTAACTTCTTGAAAAACTTCTCCCTCAGTGGTCTTCGCAAGGAACTCTTCCTTGTCTCGCGACGAGGGGAACGATAGAGGTCACGAGCTTTTTGTCGTTTCCCATGGCCACTGCAAGGATGAGAGCTTTCCGGAACGTATTTCATTCTCCTAAGATGGTCGACGACAACAATGCTCTGCTGGTCCGCGAGAGACGCGAGTCGTGGATAGCACGGTCGCGCGCGGATAAACATTCTCTCCGAGATGCTTACACACTACACCCTAAATCGCGGTACAATATAATCGATATAACGTTAAATGTTTTTGGCATCTTCGAAATACACAAATAGACTTTGGTATAAAACTTTTTTTTTTTGTTTCTTTTGATAGTGTTCAGTACGTTCATATGGAGGACTGCAGCTTCTTGCAGCTCGATCCTCTTTCCATTTTTTCTTTGATCCATTCTTAACCCACTTCTTACTTTTTCAGTACATCACACGCTCCATTTTCGCCCATTCGGAAATTCCTGTTGCATCTGACGATTGGACAATTCTGCCAGCAACGGCGTGTGTCAGGAGAGTAGGGCTCCCTGGTTTAATGGTAGTTCAATTCGATTAGCAGATTTTGTCCAGCCACCACAGTTTGCAAGTAGGCGCACCTCTCCTCCTGCGTCGCTTCTTGCTTGATGGATCGACTGCCTTCTTCACAAATCGGATGTTATATGGATCCTCCGCTAGCTCCGGATATAACTGTGCGTCATGAATGTACTCGCCCTCGTAATTGGACGCGAATCCGGACTTTAGAATTTCATCTTGTTCAGCTACCATCCATTCTATGGCTGTTGGCATGTTAGCCTTCAGTGCCTCGCGTTGTCTATGCCAGGCTTTGCGGATGGCGGTCGTTTTAGCATGATGGAGCAGTCTTTGTTTCTCTTTCTCGGCAGTGGTGCCGTAACGCAGGTTCACTATGTAACTGGCACCATGTATCTTCACGTCTATCAACGAGCTGCTTCCACTTCCATTCTCATTTTCATGGATGGTCGTATTCACTTGACCTCCCAGACGCTTTAATTGACCACGATCTTCACTGGCACGCCAAGTTTCCTCTTTTACGAAGTAGAAGGCGTCTTGTTGGGGACTGTGCAAAACGAATGTGAATGGCAGGAAATATGATCTGTTGAATACCGAGGTGAACACGTCGCCATAGATGGCGTTAGCAGTTGGTACACTGGATACCACTGCTTGTCCATCCGCAGTCCTCGATACCAAGATTCCTTTTCCAAATGGAGGATCTGCAGCTGCACCTAGACGACTGGGTATCAGATCGCTGGTATCCTTCTTTAAGGCTGAACGAGGTGGTGCTGATAAGCTGACGGCGTCTCCGGAGTGTCTTTGTGCGATATAGGCTAGAAAACCGGATTGAACGCCGAGATTCCTAGTTCTTTTCTTTTTGCCGAATATAGAGGTGCCAGGGCCCAGGGCTGGAGGAACAAGACTGTCTGGTAGCTCTTCGGGGAACAGTTGTGGAGCAAGGTTCTTCAGGTCGTAGCCAAGGTGCAATAGCCATGATATGTGGTCTGAGGAAGATATAATAAAAATAATAAAATGATTTCTGAATAGTTTGAATGATACTATTAAAATTTTTCTAATTTTTTCTATGTATTTTATACTATAGATTTTGTTCATACTCATTTTTACTTTATCGATAGTCACTGATTTAAATAGCTTTATAATTAAAAGTAAAACAATATTTTAGCGAAGTATTGTTTATAAAATTGTTATAAATATGACTAAGATGCTGTTAAATTCTCGAAATTGAATGACACGCTAGCTGCCTTAGATATTGTTAATATTGATCGAATTAGTCGTGTAAGTACTAAATCTTCCATAAAGCATTTCTGATCAAAGATACAGTGAACTTACCAGTTGGTAGGTTTGGTCGGTCTGCATGCCTAACATTAATAGGATCGTTTCCATTGAACCTGTATAGATGCAAATGCGTTGGAGTGGCCACTCTGTCCAGAACATTCTCCCACAAAGGAGACAGCCACTGACCTATCAGTGGATCATAAACTTTGCCGTTTGGCATGTGCACCAATGACGTTACCTGAATTGGAAAAAATTAAAAAATATGTAATCGAATATATAAATTAATTTTTCTCTCTTTCTGTAAAGTTAATTGTTTCTGAAAGTTGATTTAATCACAATTAACTTTGCAAGTAATAATCTTAAACGTTTTTAAGTCTCCACTTTCCTTAATTAAATAATTTTTGTAATTCATATCTTTAGAATTTTTTCCTATATAAAAACGAAAATGTAATAAACTAAAAATATCAATTTTTTAACAACATTTTTATAAAAAATTTATGTCGTATTAACAATTATTAAATCACAATTAAAATTATTATAGAATAATAATTTCTGCTGATGGATTTCAAACTCACTTGATCTAAAAGACCTCCGCAAAAGTCAACGGGTAAATACAAATAAGGATTTGAGTCGTAAACGATATGTCCATAGGGCGATCTCATGATTTCCCTAATGCATTCGCCATACTGGCTAAAAATCATGATTGGAGTTCCACACTGATCGGTGGCGATATAATATTTGTGCCGATAAACTTGAGCATAAATCAAATGTCCTCTGTCATCGTATACCAATGACATCAATTTACCATCTCGTGGACTGTATATCTGATTTACTTCATGAGGACGTTTTTGATTGTTATAAAAGAACTGGGTAACATTTCCATAATTATCTTTTCTAGTAGCCAATCGATCTAAATGATCATAGTAATATCGAACGTCAAATCGTCCACGTTTAGTAGTTCGAACTAAAAGTCCTTTGGCGTTGTAGGTGAACCTCTCTTCTCTGGCATTTTGTACTACCATACCTCTGCTATCATACTTATACAGTCCTTCACCGAATTTAACTATCCTATCAAGGCTATTGTACTCCATAGGTATAGTATTCCCTCTGTACGTTAGTGACAGCATGTTTCCATTCGCATCATACTTGAATCCCCATGGTTCTTGAGCTTCAACTCCAGTCAATTGGCCATCACAGTCCCAAGTGTAATTCTTCACATTAGTATAAGTATTAACTGCAACATTGCGGGTGTAGGTTCTGGTCTGATTAATACGACCGTGATTATTATGCGTGAACTCCATCCTGAAGACCTCTAATTGATGAATCGTTAACGTCGCTTGGGTCTCTAAAAATCTATCATCTGTGATTCTCGAAAATAAAGCAGTTCCATCGAATACAGTGGTTTCATTAGGCTGAGGTTTGGTTACCTTGAACTGTCCAATTTGTTCAAGCATACCTGTTCTGGGACTATATGCCATGGCATGAGCTGGAAGAGTTTGACCACCAATTCTACCTTGCACGTTGATCAATCTAAAGTTCGAGTCATAATCGAACGTGAATTTGGCATTACTGAGGCCAGTTTTTGCACCAAAATCTATACGTTCTTCCACTAATAGACCAGCGCTATATTGATAGTCCCATTTGTATTCTACATCTCGTTCAGAGTGGATTACTTCTGAAGGTAGACCACTTTCAGTATATCTAATTTCACTTTTTCCGTCACCATGGACGACTTCAGCAAGCTGTCCTGATGTATGATACCTATATACAATGTGAGCTCCATCAACAGGAAAAACAGTTTGTAACAAATTCCCATCGTGACTATAGTGTTGGAGGTAAGCTCTGCTGCTACCTGGTGGAGTGTAAGTTACTCTAAGAAAGCCTAGAGAAGCTTGACACGAGAACGAATGTTTAGTTCCTGATGGGAGGATGATATGGCGTAATCCACCGTCGTCGTCATATTGTAAGGTGAAGTGTCTATCACTGGCCAGAGTAATGTTGGATAACATATTGAAATCGTTATAGGTATATCGTTTAGTTCCATCTTGACTATTAGTGACTTCAGCCAATTGTCCATGACGATCGTATCCATACGATTCATCTGACGGACCCCATTTCCAGCTTTCTATCCGATTGAACCTATCGTATGTAATACTAAGATTATAGCCTTGTTCATGTGGTTGCCAGATCAAAGGTAGACCAGCGGGATCAAAGGTGACCGTTAATAATGGATTTCTTGCTTTATCGTAGAAAGTTTCTCGGCTGAATGCTTGCTCAAATTCTACGCTAATCACGCGAGTGTCGTTCACCCAGATCTCTCTATTCAAAGTCTGTTGCAAATGGCTAACGTCACCGACTAGATTATAAGTAGTAGTCATAGTGTTGGTTAGTTCGCCTAAAGACATTAATTGATAACTCCACATTGGTAACATTTCAGCCTCCACTGGTAATGCAGCTTCTAGGAGAGGATGTTTAGTTGTGGCTGCACTTAAGACTCTACCACCACCAGGAAGAAGAACTTCTAGACTGCTGTTAGTGAAGGCGATCGCTTTCTTCATTTTAGTACCTGAAATTAAGAAGAATGTTGTGAGTATTCTTGTTTTCATATTAAAGCATATGCATGTATAGGTATTTATTGTTTCAGACTTTTAGTTTATATTTGAAATATTGTAACTATATGTACTGCAAGAAAATATATTAAATTATGATAACACTGTCCAACAAATTTTATATTTTTCTCTAATCTATAATATCCATTAGGTAATATTGTACTTATAGAGTTCACTTCCCTAAAGATAAGTCTGTAATCATAATTATTCTGTCACTCTCTAAAAATGTGGGTTTTCCAGAAAAGGTACAATTTTTGGTTAAAACTAGGAGAAAATAAAGAATAAATTTTGAGAATTTATTTATAACAAAATTGTGTTGAGTTTTTAGGAAAACTCATAACTTTCGAAAACTGAGGGTGATAGAGCAATTTCGATTATGGATTCATTTTCAGGAAAGTAAAGTCTACAAGAATTACCCAATGGATATTACAGATTAAAATTCGTATTGAACAGTGTAATTTGTTTATTACTATAGAGTTAAAATAGTGTTGTTTATTTTTCACTTACCATCAGTAATCGTTAACATCTTCGATCTTTCATTCTTCATTTTGAATTCGATGATCCTCTGCTTATCTCCTTTCGACAAAGCTTGAAGCGGAGCTGATACCTTCACTGATAAACCTTCATCATCAGATAGATCCGAAGATAGTTTCAATTTTTCACCAGTGGGTAGAATGACGTTGGTAACACGGCCCAAACTATCGTAATTGTAAATATACGTTTCGCCACCCTGAAGAGCACACAATTTTTTTATATAGATTAAAAGTTTCTTTTTATAATTATTCAAAATGCTCTCAATATTAAAGTTATTTATTAGAAAAATGAATGCTAAAAATAGTTTAATAACAGTATACTTACTCCTGATCTACTTGTCAGTAATCCAGTTGAGCCATCATATGCAAGTGCTATTTCAGCTCTTCCTCGTTCGGAGAGCTTTTCCAAAAAGCCAACTGCAGAAATATTCAGTTCGGATTTATGATCTTGTGTATTTTCTATAGAACTAACTACGCTGCTATAATCCCTTAAGAATTGAATCTTATTTCCAGCACTATCCGTCACCGTGAATAACTTCCCAAAACTGGTATTTTTACTATACAAGAACGAATAACGAGTCTTGCCAGACGTTAAGTCCTTTGTGGAAATGTGTTGACCGTAACGATTGAACACGTACACCTCGTTTAACGGTGGGAAAGGAATATGGAACTCTCCACTTTCATCGTGATTTGGAAGATAAGGTTGCAGCGCAAGAATATGCAGGCTACCTTGATCAGCCACATGTAGGACCCCATCTGGTGACACGGCCAAAGCAGAAATTGTGGTGAATTTGGCATTTGATGAGAGCAAAGTCTCTGTACTACTGGTATCATCAGTACATGAACAACTTTCCAGATCTTTGGTACTTGGAGTGGTATTATTACATTCGCATTGGCCACGTAATCGTTTTTGCTGTTGCCCAGCAAAATGAGACATTTTTCCAGAACTGTCTACAATTTTAATAGAGTTCACTCTGTGTGAGTCGCTTTCTGCTATGTAAAGTTCACCAGTTGGGCTAAAGCTGACAGCAAGTACAGAACCAAGAACTTCATCAGATTTCTTTGGAGTGGTCGTAGTCGTTAGATTCACTTTCTTTATATCACTGTCATTATTATTTCCGTTGGTATTAGTATTACTAGTACAATGCAGCGGTGTTCCTGCTACTACGCGGACCTTTAAGTCACTGGTGAGTTTCAAGACGAGTCTGTCGTCGATGAAGTGCAGAGACCCATCCAGAGGACTTAAGGTCAATCCAGTTGGCCATTGGAGTTGGGCTTGATGAGCGGGTATAGCGCCGACACAGGGTGCTGGAGACCAGTGATTATGATGTCCATGGTGTCCCACTAATGTATGAATGATACCGTGGGGATCAACCGCGCGTATGTTTCTTCCGTCAGCAATGTACATGGTCTTATCAGCAGCAATGGCAATTCCTGTTAACGTGAAACGAATGGAGTTAATTTATTGGTTTAAGAGAATGCTAAGATTAAAAAATTTTTAAATTATCTCACAGTATTGAAATTTTTTAATACTTTGCGTATCCAAAAAATTTCAATACTGTGAGATAATTTTTCTTTACTTTAATTTTCATAGTATGTTTCATAATATATAACGAGGTAATTATAGCGAGATTAATTTTTTAATTGCTTGATCTTGTGGAATTATATGAAGTCGAAGTTCACCTTTTGGATGAGCTAATTTTGCACGAATGGCAGGACCTTCGTCACCGCAATGACTTTCGTCACCAGGAATACATCTTTCTCCACTTCCAACTACAGGCTCGATGTTGATGTTGGGTTGTGTAACGTTTTCCAAGGCCAGAGTTTTCAATATTTGATGTTTCTCAGGGTTACTGATATACAAGTGACCGTCCGCCGGGGAAACGCAGAGGTAATATTCATAAGCCACTTGAGTTGCACTGAAAATATAAATTTTAAAATAACATCAACATTTTTAATCGATTAAAATAATTTTGAACAATGCTTTTGACGTACTACGAGAATCACAAACACAGCAAAGAAGACCGGTTACAAGTTAAAAAATTGCTTGTGATAATAGGAAATAGTAATTACTATACAGAATGATAATTTAATCCGAAGACAACGATTTACATTAAGATATTTTCTATATATTGCAGATTATTGAAGGTTAATAGTCGAAATTCTTATTTGATGAATACATTTTCCACACAATTTTGGAATATAAACATTTACAAAACTTTATACAAAGTTGCTGCTTATAGTGAAAAATACAGCCCATATTTCTGTATTACCCTGAACTCACCTCAATGTTAAAACAGTATATACATTTCCTTTAGGTGTAATTCTGCGGACCAGATTGAAATCACCCACATAAATGCTTCCATCTGGGCCACTGGTAAGCGCTACCGGCGTCAACAACCTAGCATCCTTAGCCAAACCATCGCAATCTTGGCACACTAAATTTCTTTGCAGTCCTGTACCCATTACTACCTTCACCGTGCGAGGATACTGCTTGAAATGCAAAGTGGTACCATCTCCCTTTTGAAGTATACCTTCGTGAAAGTTGTAATGATGGTGGATATCTAATCCCCACCCTCCAATATCTGAGATATCAACGTCGAAGCCTTGCAACGTGGCTGTCTGGATCTCCCATATCACCGCTGGACAAGTGGAATGTTGATAGCCAATCGAGATTCTTGCTTGTGCTACACCGTATACTTTCTGTTTATAAACGTTCCGCTTATTCCAGGCGAACGTATGCGTTAAATTTGGATCTGCTTCATAGGTCTTCGTGTGCAATGATCCTTCAATCTCTACGTGCACGTGCACATGCGTCAGCGACTTGGGGATGAATGGGCCGGTCAACTGCATTCTCACCGTTGATAAGTAGCCAGCCGCCTGACTACTCTGATACATCAAGTGTAAGTTCGAGCCAGGAATAGCAATGCTTTCTTGGACGATCTGTAAGAGGAAATAGTTCAGTGAAGTGCTAAATTGAAGAGGTTTGGTTCTGAATATTTGAATGTTCGTAACTAGAATGATATTTATTTCAATTTGATAAAAAGAAGCCTAAGTATAAGGCAACAAGTATAGAAAGCATTCCTTTCCACTGGTTCAGAATGACCAAAATTTGTGAACTTCACAGATTGAAATTTAATTGATAATAGATATATTTTAAGGTGAATTAATAAGATCAAAAATTTAGATTTGGTTTACATGATAAAATTTAATTCACAGGATTTACCTGACTTTCTGCGAACACCAAACTTTTGCCTGGAAGACCGCCCACCTTCTCCGGCATCCAAGTGCTAACGATAATGGGCCTTAACAACTCGTGATCGTGCTCCAGGCATGGGCCATGTTCACTAAATAGTCCCATCGATATCCCTGGGAAGCCTATTATATTGTATGCCATAAATGGTAAGGAACTTAAAAACATAAAACACTTAAGGACGGAACAAAGACAGCACACACGATCAGTGACGGGTCCTTTATGAATTCCTCTTTACATACCGAGGGACAACGAAGCAGTGAACGATTAATAACATATATATTCAAAAAAAAAGAAAAAAAATGATAAAAAAAAGGTAAATAAAAATAAACAAAAAATATTACGATAAACAATCATCTAGTTACTCAAACGTGAAACATCTTGGATCACTGTCCATTTTGGCACCAGTTGACTCGTAACACGACAAAACGTGAAAAAAGGTATAAAAAAGGAAAATGAAAAGATAATACAGAGGTTCGTACTTACCGACAGCCGGACTCGGTGGTTGGTTGGATTTATTGGACTCGCCTTCCTTGTTAAGGGTCATCACCACGGGAGGCAGAACCACTATTTGATTCCACGGCACGAACACCGTCCTCGTGAGGGGTTTGAAGGGGCTACGTTGGAACTGAAGCGTCACCGCACCGCCTCCGTTCACCAGCACGTCAAACCTGATCCAAGTACGTAAATGCGTTTCAAACTATTCCTTAGCTTCCAGTATTACATCGGGTTACGGACTATACTCGATCGATAAAGGATACGTAGCACCAGGCCCTTTTGACTGTTTCGAAATTCCATATCCTGAAGGTGATTTTAGCATTTGGTGCACGTTCAAACATAACAGTAATATTCATCAACTTCTGGTATCTTTCACATTCTACTGTGACAATATTCAACGAGTATTCTCTCTAATTAAAAATTATTTTTAGGAACTTGAGGATAATTATGTATTTCCATTAGCACAAGTACTTTCTCTTAGTATCTTTGGCACTTCTAATATAAATTTTGAAGAAAAATATCTATAATTTGCAAGACCTGTGTATGTAGCAATAGAGTATTTATTGAAGAATAATGTACTTGTGTTTCTCGTGATTGTATAACTACATATATTCCTTTCAGGGGTAACAATTTTCAACCTGTTCAACGATATATGCTAAAGATGATATGTTACATGAAGGACAACTCGAAAACATATTCCACCAGGGTTGAAATAGACACTTCCTAATAGATATGGATAATAGCTTCGTAACAGATCTCTTAAAGCACCTGGAGATAGAAAAATTGGCTTTGTAAACCGGATAAACATCGTTACTCTTTCCTAAGGAGACCTCTGACTACAGGCGCCCTCTATCCAGGATCACGTGTCCCTGAAACTTCCTCTATCATTTAATCGTGCGTTCTCGTCACGCAGTGACATGGACAGACAGCAAACCGAACTAAGCCCATAATCTCCCGCAACTTTTGCCTGCACACGTTTGAAATCCGATTTGAAAGTCCCCTGTCGTACTACAAATACACGAATTGCAGGAACGTTTCGCGCAAGGAATCCAACGTAAGCCGTACTCGCAATCAAGCAGCGACAAACGCGTATTTATCAGAGAGTTTGGCCACAATAACTGCCAATCTATCACAGTCCCGTATTCATTAACCCGTGAATACAACGAGAGAGTTCTGCATCGAACTTCCGTTTGGGATTACGTGAAACTACGAGTCGGAGAGAGAGAGAGGGGGGGAGAGAGAGGGAGATGGGGAGAGAGAGAGAGAGAGAGAGAGAGAGAGAGAGAGAGAGAGAGAGCAATGAGAGCAGAACACGTTATCGTTTCGACGAATTTCGCCAACGTACACTCTCTCTCTTTCATGTTCGCTGTTCACTATATTACGGTAAAATTTTGCGAGTGATCCGACAGGTGGGGGCAAGGGATAGACGTAGGTCAGACTAATCACACAGGTTTGCACGGAGTAATTAGGAAGCTTTCGACATCATTAGCTCGAGCTTTGATGTGGTTTACCGGGCCAACTCCTCCGACTCCGTGTTTCAGGATTATCCTCGCCAGGATTACTATATACCTGTTTGATATAGGTGTTTCACCATCTACCCACACTCCATCTAGTCTTCTCATACCCTTCATTACAATGCACACCCTTGATCCTATTACGAAGGACGCCCAAGCTGGTGTACATGCCCACCAGGCGCAAATACTAATAACCTGCATACATTTGTGAGTGCATTAATATGCCAATGATACGTTTTTGTTCTTAGAGCAAGTTGGGCTCGCTTGTATGATCGATAGGTGGTATGCACCGATGAGTCCTAACGAAGTTTGGATCTTCTACGGTCAGATACTGTGAGAATTCCATTTCGTGTACTGATACGAATTTTTATACCTATTATGTCAGCTGCTTGATCGCAGATCTGCAGAACGTCCCGTGAAGTTGTAAAGGTGTGTACAGTGGTAAAAGTGTCAAAGTCACTTATACCTCGACTTTCCTGATCTACGAGCACAACGAAATGTGGTAAGATACGATGAAAGCTATATGTTTGACATTATTATACCAACTGATAAAACTTCAAACAGATTAAACAGAATTTACGTATCAATTTTTCGAGTATGCTTCTTATTTAGGATTTTTCCAAGATCCCAAATGGTTCGTGTGGGACGGGTTGCCTGACAGTCAAGTGTACGACGGGTTGCTTGTAGTAGGCGCCTAAGTTCCGTGTATACAAAACTTTATTAATTACAAATTTATTAATTCATCATCCGATACTATACCAAACTACAGTTATGTAGTTTCAATACATCCCTATATCGTATATATGAGGATAGGAATTTCGTGATAGTTATTAAATAGAAGCTCAAAATTGATTTCACATAGCCAATCGAATAAATTTCATTTGTACCTTCTATCTTCGTTCTTTACATCTCGTATTCGAAATACGATAAAATAAAAATGGTAAAATTAGTACTCACCATCCATCAGCTCTCGTCAACGTGAATCCTAAACGGGACTCCCTGTCCACGGACACCCTGATGCCTATTATTCCAATTCCTTGTTCGGTTACAACTTGTCCTCGCATCACAGCAACTCGACTGTTACAAATCAAAGATATATCGAGGTCTCTTGAAGTCGGATCGTATCGTTGACCTGTTGAGTCGCGGAACGCTGATCTTTTCAAAACGCATCGTATACCGAACAACGGTAAATACATATTCCAATGTAAAAAACAAACGAAACTAATCTTTGGAAGCATAGACTATTTTTGTTTAAATTTAAAATTTCTTAAACAGGTATAGACACCGATGTGCCTCAAAAAAAAAAAAAAAAAAAAAAAAAAAAAAAAA